TTCCGGATGTATTTAACATTGGTATTTCCAGATGTATTTGAAGAGAAACTGTATGTCTGATATTTCCGGATGTATTTAACATTGGTATTTCCAGATGTATTTGAAGAGAAACTGTATGTCTGATATTTCCAAATGTATTTAACATTGGTATTTCCAGATGTATTTGAAGAGAAACTGTTTGTGTTATATTTCCAGATGTATTTAACATTGGTATTTCCAGTTGTATTTGAAGAGAAACTGTATGTCTGATATTTCCAAATGTATTTAACATTGGTATTTCCAGATGTATTTGAAGAGAAACTGTTTGTGTGATATTTCCAAATGTATTTAACATTGGTATTTCCAGATGTATTTGAAAAGAAACTGTTTGTGTGATATTTCCAGATGTATTTGAAGAGAAACTGTATGTCTGATATTTCCAAATGTATTTAACATTGGTATTTCCAGATGTATTTGAAGAGAAACTGTTTGTGTGATATTTCCAGATGTATTTGAAGAGAAACTGTTTGTGTGATATTTCCAGATGTATTTAACATTGGTATTTCCAGATGTATTTGAAGAGAAACTGTTTGTGTGATATTTCCAGATGTATTTAACATTGGTATTTCCAGATGTATTTGAAGAGAAACTGTTTGTGTGATATTTCCAGATGTATTTAACATTGGTATTTCCAGATGTATTTGAAGAGAAACTGTTTGTGTGATATTTTCAGATGTATTTAACATTGGTATTTCCAGATGTATTTGAAGAGAAACTATTTGTCTGATATTTCCAAATGTATTTAACATTGGTATTTCCAGATGTTTTGAAGATAAACTGTTTGTGTGATATTTACAGATGTATTTGAGGATTTCGTCTCTCCAGTGATAGCAGCTCAAACTCTTTTCCACTCTGCTGTCAAAAAACGAAAAGACATGTTACAGAAAGCCATGGGATTTGTTCTGTCTATTCTCACAAACCCTAATTCCGGTCCTCGGCAGAAAGATGGAGCCATGCACATGGTTGGGACAGTGGCAGACATCTTGTTAAAGGTGTGGTAAGACGTATGTTTACGATGAATTGTGTAAATTTAATTGATATTAAAGTATATATTATTGGGCGAAGCTGTGTAAGATAGCTTATTTGTGTATGGTCCAGCTGAACCTAAATTTTATATACAAGTTTGTCAGCCAAAGTTTTCATTGATTAAAATGGTGTGTATCGATAGCAACATAATCAATTTAAGCTATTTCATTGTAGAAGTAAACTACATTTCATATAAAACTTGTTGATTTCTTCACATTTTTTCATGTGCAGAATGATGTTTGTTTCACGAATCTTCTTGTATGTGTGTGTGTGTGTGTATATATATATATATATTGAGTTTTCAACCTACTTATGTATTTGAGGAGAAACAGTTTGGAAGTGCAGAATTTCTTCTGACAGCAAAGTGAAATTCAGAAGATGTTAAAGAATAAAAAACCAAAAGAATAATCTAATTTATTTATTTAAAAAAAATAATAATTATAGCAGTCTGTCGATATTTTACAACAAAAACTTTAAAAGTTCAGGATCCTCGATCAGATATTTGTTCTTACGATGTTGAAGTTAAGTTAAGTTTTAAGCTGTTTATTTTGTATTACATTATCAAAACATTTTTCCTGACATGTGAAATACTTGTATTTTTATCCACAGAAAAAATTCTATAAAGATCAGATGGAGAACATGTTAGTGATGTACGTGTTTCCCGAATTTTCAAATCCCCATGGCTACATGCGTGCAAGAGTAAGTTACAAACATTTGTAGTATTTAATCTGTAATATTATGAAAAATGTTTCAAATCCCTAAATATTTATACATAATTATTTGTGCATAAATTCATCTAAATAAACAAAAACAGTCAGTTATGTTTAAAGTAAACATATGAGACCAAAAACTCGAGCTTTTTTGAATAGTTCACTCTTCTTCTTCAGGAGAAGAAAGGAAGAAGAATAGTGAATTATTCAAAAGCACTCGAGTTTTGGTTCTCGTTTGAAAACCATTACAACTTTTGTATGTGATCCCATGTGTTAACGTGTTAATCAGAACATAAATTTTCATGTTATTTGTTGGCAATTTTCCCATTGTTTTAGCTATTAATTTTCATACTACTTGTTTGGAATCTTCCCATTGTTGTAGCTATTAATTTTCATGTTACTTGTTTGGAATCTTCCCATTGTTGTAGCTATTAATTTTCATGTTACTTGTTTGGAATCTTCCCATTGTTGTAGCTATTAATTTTCATGTTACTTGTTTGGAATCTTCCCATTGTTGTAGCTATTAATTTTCATGTTACTTGTTTGGAATCTTCCCATTGTTGTAGCTATTAATTTTCATGTCACTTGTTGATGATCTTCCCATTGTTGTAGCTGTTAATTTTCATGTTACTTATTGGTAATCTTCCCATTGTTGTAGCTGTTAATTTTCATGTTACTCGTTGGTAATCTTCCCATTGTTGTAGCTGTTAATTTTCATGTTACTCGTTGGCAATCTTCCCATTGTTGTAGCTGTTAATTTTCATGTTACTCGTTGGCAATCTTCCCATTGTTTTATTTTATTAGATTTTGTTATTGATCATCTTGTTAGCTTCCAGACTTGCTCTTTGTTACATTTTTATTTTTAAATCTCATAATGACATTTTGTTACACTGAAAATAATTTCCCATACTGTCATTTATTATTTTTGTTACATTATAGAAAACTTTAGCAATTTTCCATGATCTTTCATTATAGATATTCCTATTGTTACATTATCATAATAAGCTTCTGGTGATCGTCATATTGTTACATTATCATAATAAGCTTCTGGTGATCGTCATATTGTTACATTATCATAATAAGCTTCTGGTGATCGTCATATTGTTACATTATCATAATAAGCTTCTGGTGATCGTCATATTGTTACATTATCATAATAAGCTTCTGGTGATCGTCATATTGTTACATTATCATAATAAGCTTCTGGTGATCTTCATATTGTTACATTATCATAATAAGTGTCTGGTGTTCTTCATATTGTTACATTATCATAATAAGCTTCAGGTGATCTTCATATTGTTACAGTATTGTAGTAGGTGTCTGATCATTAGGCCTGATGATGGTAATTGTATCACTTTAACTAGTTAGCTGAAATATGTAATATATTTTATCTTCCATTGTGCCAAAAAAAAAGGTTTTTGTTTTTTGGTTTATTACTCATAATTTAGTAATGTTATACTAGTTTAGATATTTTATATGTTGTGTATTGCTTTACGTCTCCTCCTTCTTTGTATGTCTGTCTGGATATATACTCAAAACTTCACTCTTTCAAGTTGAATATTGACAGGTAAATAAACCCTTTCATCATTAACTAGAAACATTTATCAGGAAAATGGTGGCTGAAGTATGTACTATTTTTAAATATGAGATGAAGGAGTGAATATTACAGAATTAACACATACGTGAATTGAATGTTTAACATGCTTAACATTTTTTATATAAAATCTAAATTTTCCATACTAGGCTTGCTGGGTGCTTCACTACTTTAGTGAAATCAGGTTTAAAAATGAAGCAAACCTTATCCAGGCCCTGAACATGACACAGAATTCCCTTCTGAATGACCAGGAACTTCCGGTCAAGGTGGAAGCTTCTATAGGACTTCAGACATTAATCACCAGTCAGGAGAAAGGTCATGAATATGTTCCTATTAATCAGGATTTGGTATAAAATTGAAGTAATACAACGTAAAAACAAATGTTTACAAATATGTAATTTTTATGTTCCCACAAGTTTGCGGTTGTTCTGAGGTTACTGACCTGTAACGTAATAATAATGAAACCCTTATTGTCATCATTTTAGACTTTTATAATCAAAACTTAAATACAGACAAGGCAATAATGTGCTAGGAAACATTTACTGAAATCATACTTGTTGGTTAGAATTCACAGGGTGAGCTAGGAAACATTTACTGAAATCATACTTGTTGGGTAGAATTCACAGGGTGAGCTAGGAAACATTTACTGAAATCATACTTGTTGGGTAGAATTCACAGGGTGAGCTAGGAAACATTTACTGAAATCATACTTGTTGGGTAGAATTCACAGGGTGAGCTAGGAAACATTTACTGAAATCATACTTGTTGGGTAGAATTCACAGGGTGAGCTAGGAAACATTTACTGAAATCATACTTGTTGGATAGAATTCACAGAGTGAGCACCGTGTGTATTTATTTCTAGTCCTCCCATAGTTGTGTCTTATTTACAAATGGATACATCGGTCAAAATACATATTTATTTTATTGAAAATATAAAATGGTCTCTTGGTTTTCCAAATCGAGTAGCTGAGCTTGACTATGTTAACTGAATGCATATTTTTCCATTTACAAGTTTTGAAGAATTAGTGTGGTTATGTGTTTAAAATGTTTTCCAACTAATTATAGTTTTAGGATATTTCTCTTGTTGTTCTGACTGGATTGTTGTTACATTGTTTGAAAGGTAAAGATACATCTTTTTGTTGGTGAGTTTGTAGGCCTGAATGTTGTGTAGATCATAAGCTGTCAATGATAAAGCAGTTTTTGTATTTTTACTGAGCTATCTACCTGCTTTACTTAGTAGCAAGATACAACTGAATTTGGTAACACCACAAATTGCCAAATGTAAGACCGTGTAGATTTCTTTTGCAATATAGATGTCAGTTGCTGACCAAATAATACCTTCTCACACCATCTCTGTACTAATGTACACCCTGTAAATGATGCTTATGGATTTGCAATATAGATGTCAGTTGCTGACCAAATAATACCTTCTCACACCATCTCTGTACTAATGTACACCCTGTAAATGATGCTTATGGATTTGCAATATAGATGTCAGTTGCTGACCAAATAATACCTTCTCACACCATCTCTTTAC